GCTATGATAGACGGTAGACAGTATTGTAATCAAACGTATTCTTAAAAAGAGTGTTACCATCGTCAGATCGACGTGCTTCCCTGGAGGCCGATTTGTCCTTACTACTTACGGACTCTAGCAATCGTACGCGTGCACGACAGCATGGTCGATCTCATATTCAATAGCACAGTCACCTTTATTTGCAACAACATGACCACTTCGGCATTCACCAAGGCCACGTCTTTTTACAAATCCTCTAAAAATGAATTGGCGAATTTTATTACGTGGTATTTAATATCTGCTTACTTAGGCCAATTTGGAATTAGCGATGCCCACTTTCGAACGGCAGTGTTTGGTTCAATTAATGCGGAGGCTTATGTCCTATGTCGACGACAAACATTGAAGGGCTTTTGAGATCTACAAAATTTGTCAACCGGTAATTTCGTCACATACTTCACCACTTTCCTCAAGTTTCCTTTCATCAAACAAAAATACAACAAGTATTTTAATACAATCATGAGTACCAAAGAAGGCAAAAGTGATGACAAACAGCGCAGTCGCAAAGACAGAGACCGCCAAGACGAGGATGTCAAGGCCATGGAAAGAGCAAGAAGAAGCGGCGGCAGGAGGAATCAATCCACAGCATCTGGTGCCGAATCTGAGAAGGAAGTAGGTCTCAGCAGGTCTAGCAGCCATCGAAATGACCGTCGAACTCGAGATGAGCGAGAGGCCAAAGATAGAGCTCGCAATGGACGATCCTCGTCCTCCTCTCGACCAGGCGTTTCACATGAGTCAAGAACTTCCGATAGATCTCGCCAAAAGTCGAGTGGAAAAAGCTCGAGAACGAGTGGATCTCCTCGTGGCGGTCGCAAAAAGAATGACGAGAAGAAAGGCTATCGCAACCGACGATCGTCTACTCCTGGAGCGCAGGCTGAGGATGTTGCTAGCCCACGTTCGCGCTCATCTCGTCGTAGTGGAAGCAGAAAAGGAGATGAGAAGAAAGGTTATCGCAACACTGGAGCATCTACTCCTGGCGTACAGGCCGAGCGAAAAGTTCGGGACAAAGCAAGTCGAAAAGTTTCGCGACACAACAGTAACAGCCGAAACGTCCATATGGATGGCACAATTGTATCAAATGCGACTGCTGGAGATGACGGTTATGCTGTTCATGCCAGCATTGTTGGGGCGGGCAGCGCTGATGAAGGTCCAACTAAAGAGGAACAGGAAGCCCAAATGAACAAAATGGCAGAAGAAAAAGCCAAAAGACTCCGGGAGCAAGAACGGGAGGAAGAGCGTCAACAAAGGGAGCGTGAAGAACAAGAAGCAGAAAAGAAACGCAAAAAGCGTCGCAATTTGGTGATTCTTCTGGTTCTACTACTTTTGATTGGTGGTGGTGCTGCAGCTTACTTTGGCACCAGAGGAGCTTCAAACGGAGGTGGCGATGTTGCTGTGGACGACGGAAACAATCAAAACCCTGCTGATGATACAACATCCGAATCCCCTTCAAGTGATCCAACCATGGCTGGAACCAACCCTCCATCGCAGTTTACTTTCAAGTACCCTCCACCAGACCTGGAAGATTGTCAACGTCTGATGGATAGAGAGCCTCCATTGGTCGAGGAAGGCACTCTTGAGAATCGGGAGTTTGAGGTTGATTTCGATCTAGGCTTATCAAGTGCCGACACTAATACGACTTCTGTCTTCCCCCAGGTGGAACAGAAGATAGCCGAATGGTTGCTCCCTCCACTTGTGGGATGCGATCTTCAGCGTCGCCTTGACAACGGGCCCTCCTCATTCAAAGGTATTCGTGGCGAGGCATTGCGTCGATTGCAATCATCAGAAGATCCTCTCCGATACATGATTGCTGATGTGTTGGACATCCGTGCGGTTGATCAAGCGGAGAGATGCTCTACGGCCTCTGACATTCCCAACTGCAACTTTGTGACCTTGAAGATGAATGTACTGCTTCGTGGGGATGAACTGAACCTGTATGTGGCGACTCTACTGTCTGGATTCTTCCCAGAAGGTCAAGATCTCAAAGTTACAATTGGCTTCTCCGATGACATTGCTATCTTTGCGGCAAGGAGTATTCGCGCGACTGGTCCTACCAAGGCTCCAAGTGTGATGCCTTCTCGTGAGCCAAGTGTTTCTCCTTCAGACTTTCCAACCAAGGAGCCAACGATCCCAATCGCTGAGTCTATGAATCCCAGTGCCCTGGTTCCTGAACCTACCAAGCTACCTTCTGAGTCACCCAGCAAGACACCTTCCGCAACTCCATCCAGTGTCCCAACTCCCACTCCGCCGCCAACATTTGCTCCCATTCCGGGAACAACGCCAATTCCAACACAGACAGCCTCTGGAACTCCATCGCAGGTTCCCAGCAAGACTCCCTCGTCTGCGCCTTCTGTTGCTCCTGTCATTGCAGCCACCCCATCTCCAACGATAACAGCGTCATCAATGCCCTCGATGAGCCCTTCTGCTGCACCCATACACGCCTGTGCGTCATTGGACCTTCGGGATTTTAATGGTCAGAAAGTGTTTGGATACGACCAAAATGGCGCAGAACACTTTTATACCTTTTCAGCATCGGGTATGGCTTCATGGCAGATTTGGGATGGAACCAGCAGTGTAACCAGCATGCTTGAGAACTCGCGTGATCCTTCCTTCCTTAGCGCCTCTTACGGAGATACGATGACTGGCAAGAGTGGAGAGGTTACTCTGCTCACCACCACTAATACGGCATCCTACCTTGAGATCAATATACTCGGTAGCTCTAGGTTTGAAATGAAGATATATTTGGCTGAGCCTGGATGTTTAATTCCAGCGTCTGGCAACGTATCCTGTGGATCTACGTTGGGGACGATTACGATGGGGAGTACATTATTTGGAGAGGATCAAAATGGATTGGAACACCATTACACATTTGATTCAGCCTACGGGGAGTGGAAGATTTGGGATGGAACAGGCACTACCTCCCTGCCTGAATCTTCCCGTTCTCCTTCTGGATTGCGAGGCTACTATGAAGATGTGATGACTGGCAAGAATGGTCAAGTTTATTTGCTCTCGACTTCTGATGCCTCGTCCTATCTTGAGATCAATACCATCAGTAGCTCTTCTTTTGAAATGAAGATCTATCTTTCTGAGTCTTCGTGTGGCATTCCAGTATCCGGCAACCCTTGTGGAGCTACGTTAGGAACGATTACGATGGGGCGTGAAGTATTTAGGGAGGACGAAGGTGGGCTTGAACACCATTACGCATTTGATTCATCCTATGCGTATTGGACTTTTTGGTATGGAACAGGCACCACGTCGATGCCAGAAAGTAGTCGTTCTGCTTCCGGACTGCGAGCCTACCATTCAGATATGATGACTGGCAAGAGCGGTGAAGTGTTTCTGCTTTCGACTTCTGATGCCACATCCTACCTCGAGATCAATGTTGTCGATAGCTCTACTTTTGAAATGAAGATCTACATTTCCGAGTCTTCATGCGAAATTCCAGTGTCTGGCAACGCTTGTGGAGCTACGTTATCTACCATTACGGTGGGGAGTGCAGTGTTTAGGGAGGATGAAGATGGGCTTGAACACCACTATGCATTTGATTCATCCTATGCGTATTGGAAGGTTTGGGATGGTATGAGTGCAGCTTCGATGAATGAGAATAGTCGTTCGGAATCCCAGCTGCGAGCGTATCATTCCGATATGATGACTGGCAAGAGCGGTGAGGTGTTTCTGCTCTCTACCACTGGTGCATCATCCCTCGAGATCAATGTCATTGATAGCTCTAGATTTGAGATGAAGATCTACATTTCCGAGTCTACATGTGAGATTCCAGTGTCTGGCAACTCTTGTGGAGCTACGTTATCTACCATTACGGTGGGGAGTGCAGTGTTTAGGGAGGACGAAGATGGGCTTGAACACCATTATACATTTGATTCATCCTATGCGTATTGGAAGGTTTGGGATGGTATGAGTGCAGCTTCGATGAATGAGAATAGTCGTTCGGAATCCCAGCTGCGAGCGTATCATTCTGATATGATGACTGGCAAGAGCGGTGAGGTGTTTCTGCTCTCTACCACTGGTGCATCATCCCTCGAGATCAATGTCATTGATAGCTCTAGATTTGAGATGAAGATCTACATTTCCGAGTCTACATGTGAGATTCCAGTGTCTGGCAACTCTTGTGGAGCTACGTTATCTACCATTACGGTGGGGAGTGCAGTGTTTAGGGAGGACGAAGATGGGCTTGAACACCATTATACATTTGATTCATCCTATGCGTATTGGAAGGTTTGGGATGGTATGAGTGCAGCTTCGATGAATGAGAATAGTCGTTCGGAATCCCAGCTGCGAGCGTATCATTCTGATATGATGACTGGCAAGAGCGGTGAGGTGTTTCTGCTTTCGACTTCTGATGCCACATCCTACCTCGAGATCAATGCCATTGATGGCACTACTTTTGAGATGAAGATCTACATTTCCGAGTCTACATGTGAGATTCCAGTGTCTGGCAACTCTTGTGGAGCTACGTTATCTACCATTACGGTGGGGAGTGCAGTGTTTAGGGAGGACGAAGGTGGACTTGAACACCATTATACATTTGATTCATCCTATGCGTATTGGAAGGTTTGGGATGGTATGAGTACAGCTTCGATGATTGAGAATAGTCGTTCGGGATCCCAGCTGCGAGCGTATTATTCTGATATGATGACTGGCAAGAGCGGTGAGGTGTTTCTGCTCTCGACTTCTGGCGCATCCTACCTCGAGATCAATGTCATCGGTAGCTCTAGATTTGAGATGAAGATCTACATTTCCGAGTCTTCCTGCGAAATTCCAATCTCTGGCATCCCTTGTGGAGCTACATTATCGAGTTTTGGCAATGGTCCCACGGTAACTGCAGTCGACACAAGCGCCAAACAGCACACATATGCCTTTGATGAAACATATGCACAATGGCAGATTTCGGGCGCAGACAATTACATGTCTGAAAGTATGCGTTCTGCTTCCGGACTGCGAGCCTACTATTCAGATATGATGAGTGGCAAGAGCGGTGAAGTTATTATGCACGCTGGTACTGGCTCCGGCTCTGTTGATGTCACCATATTGAGTCCTTCCACATATGAAATGAACATTTACGTATCGTCTTCCTGTGCATTGCCATAGGAGTATAATAGTCCTATATATGCATATTATATATTGAATGTTTATTAAAAAATACATAGTGTCTGCGGCACTGCATCCTAGCATTGATATTGGGGTGCACCATGAGAATGTCCTTTGAGTAAGGACTGTAGAACCATTCCTAAGGGTTGCCATGCGATGGCACTTATTGGGATGGAGCGCTACTGTACAGCCGCATTATTATATCAGCCGGTTGAGTCAGACGCAAAAGTAAGGCTGAGCTTTCACAAATAGGAGCAGCAAAGTGCAGAAGCAAGAAAATCAATTCCTGTAACCCAGATTGCTGGAAAGGGATTGATTCAACAGAAACATTTCGATACAACACAATTGCGAAGGACCACCACATAATGATTGCTGCTGCTCATACAATGGGTGACATCGGAATCGCGAATGAATCGTTTCGGATCCAAACACACTCGTTGCTTTGTGAATCAAGTTCTTGACAGCTATGCAGCATCCTCGACGGTTGTTTGGGATTTGTTCCACCAGCCTGCGTATGATGGCGAACACTCAATTGTTGCGATTCTCAGAATGAATTCAATCTGAAATGAATAGGCTGCTCGACGCACTCGGCTTATTCATGATGGTCACAATTGGATCCCATTGGTGAACGGCCGCGAGCGAGTAGACGACAAAAGCAACTGGACGACAGTTGGGATTTTAGGTATTGGCTCATGTACATGCTGATGTTGATCCGCCGAGTCTATCTTTAGCAGCTTCTCCTTGCGGATCTGATGGCATACCCTTTTATTAAAGTGTTGCTTCCAACCAAGGGCGTCGTTTTTGGCAATCATATATATCCTGCAGTTGTGGGGTTTTAGAGTATGGCTGATATTGCAATATGTTGTTTCCATCCGATCGTTGGCATATTATACTATATCGTCATCCATATATACTGTGTATATATAGACTGCGTATGTATACTTCCATCCATTATTGTGTTGATATTTTGGTATCCCAACAACTGAAGCGAATAATGCCTTAAATTTTGCCACATCAGCTCGCCGTATCGAACATCATCATCCAACTATAGATGCTTGCGAACAGCAGAGGAAGCTTTCAAAGTCTTCAATGTACCGGTAGCTATAAATACCAGTAGGCCGCGATACAATTCGGAAAATGCAGTATAATACTGTTCATATTGAGCTTATCCTTCTTGAAGATCCCCGCCAAAGATAAGGCTGTCAGGTTGATGTTGTGGAACACCACGTTGCGTGCGGATACAATAGAATACCGTCAGATTGATTCATCCCTCTGACTATGGTGTGCAATAATGGTCGCAGTAACGATAGCGACAACATGGCCAGGAACGTAGGCATTCCCAATCGCTCCTCTGTCGTGTTCGCACGTTGATGGTGATGATGGTACAGTATAATATGCTGCGCTGATGATGATTCGATTTATTGTTTGGAAATTGGAAAGCAATAAGCGCATTATTATAAAAACGGAACCATCGAAATGATTTTTGAGATCATATCGCCGGTCGCATACAAATGCGTGGCAGATATATTTTATAATATAAAAAAGATGACGAATAATATTATATATATATCCACAATGAATACAGTATATTTTTTTAA